CTACATTGGAGGGCGTCTTTCGCTACCAACGCTGCACTTGAAATCGTCTGCCATAGCATATTTGAAAACTATGGAAAAAATGGGATTTCTTGATACAAATCTTTTCCGTGACCCTTATAATTTGGTAATTTAGTTGATCACCTAAAGAAGTCACCTATTCAGCGCCGCCCCAAGTTAATGCTGCCACTTACCACTGGCAGACGAGTGATTTTATTATTAGTTTTCAACGTACTTTCAGCCTGTATTGTCGAATTTTTAGCTTCCTAGCATGTGCTAGGTAGCTATTGCGATAGCCGTTTTTTGAAAATTTCAAAATTTCACCAAATGTCTACGTTTTAGACCATTTTAAGCAACTTTTAATGAATAAAATTTTTTCCATCTGTATGTACGTACGTACGTACGTTTGTTGGCAATTTTCTGAGAAAACGGCTCGACGGATTTTGTTGAAATTTTGTATATATGTTTTAGGCATACCGAACAGAAAAATAACGGGCCGGATTTTTGAAAAGAAATTTTGGAGCGCCGTAACGGCATCAAACTTTTTTTTTCAAATAGCAACCTAAAATTTTTATTCTATTATTTGGAAGACCTTATTTTCTTGTGTACAACCTACAAAAATTGGGCCAGGTTATATTATCAAAAAACGGAGAAAAAATTGTCAAAGTCAAAAAATTGTGTTGCATATGTGCAAAACGCAACGATCTTGTTTCTGAAGCAATTTAAACGAAATTTCTATGGTAACTCCCTTTAATAAAAGCAAACAAAATTCATGCGCAAAAATCGTGTTGCGCATGCGCAGAAATGCAATTTTCTTATTTATGGAACAATTAAAACGAAATTTGGGTGGTAGGTCCTCCTAATAAAAGAAAACAAAATGCATGCGCAAAAATCGAGTTGCGCGTGTGCAACATCCAACTTTCTTATTTATGGAGCAATTTTAACGAAAATTGGATGGTAGGTCCCTCTAATAAAAGCAAACAAAATGCATGCGCAAAAATCCTGTTGCGCATGCGCAGAAATGCAACTTTCTTATTTATGGAACAATTTTAACGAAATTTAGATGGTAGGTCCTTTTAATAAAAGCTAACATCAAATGTCGACGTTTTACATCATTTTAAGCAACTTTTAAAGAATAAATTTTTCCCGGATGTAAGTGCGTACATATGTTGGCAATTTTTGGTTTCAGCTAGGAAGCTATATTCTGTCAAGAATTTGACACCTGGTTTGTCGCTTATGGTTTAGTTACTATGTACGCTGCCTCCCGGTCTATTACAGGTTTTCTCCATTATTTCGTATTATCGTGTCATGCCTACGTGCATCACCTACTCTACCAATCTCTCAAGTCACACACAACGGTAGTTTGTCTGTTCGTTCGGCCGCCTTTTATAAATCTACCGATATCTAGATATAGGACTACCGCGGCGGCGCCCTCGGGTTTCAGCATTAGTTTCGTATTGTCGAGTTATTCCTGTATTGCTTAGTCTGAAAGCTATTAATCTGCTACATCACATACAGATGTGGCGAAGGTAGGGATAAATATGCTCTTAGGCCTTTATAGTACTCTAATAATGAAAGGTCGCGACGAAAAGAATTTTTTTTCGCCAACTCCCGTCCCCCCTCGACTCTCTGTAAGATGTAAGATTGTTTGGTAGAGCAGCGTTGGCTGAAACCCCGCCCACTCAAAAATAAAGGCAAAATAATAGTTATTTATGTATCAAGGGCATTAAGGCGATATTTATGCCGAGGGCGACAGAGCCCGAGGTATGCAAGTCGCCCGAGGGTTAAATATCGAGTAATGCCTGAGGTGCATACAAAATTTTAATTTTTCATCGTTCCAAATAATGCATTTCCAATATACAAATATAATGATTATTGTTTACCAACTTTATGTCAAGTACCATCGTTTTTATTGCATAATATAACCCCCGTCAATGTATTTGACAGGCCGTTTGAGGGCATAATGAAAAGACAATCCATTATGACGCTGACTACCTGGGACTCTACGTGATCTATGAGGCGCTAGACGATGGCGGGGTCATTCCGTAACCCAAATTGCATCCTTTTATAACGGCGCCTTCCATGAAGGCGACTTGCCAATAGTCTGCCTGTAGTTGACATTACTGGAGAGTAGGCGTCGATGTGTGGCAGAGGGTAGCTGTCCGAGATTGACAGTATTTAACTTCCGGTAATCGGTACGGAGGCAGGTGGATCCGTCCGGTTTGTGCACCAATAGCACAGGTGAAGCCGATTGGGATTCGCACTTTTCTATGATGCGACAACTAGACTTGCCGCAGGGGCGGTTTTTAGGGGGGGGGCGACCCCCCCCCCCCAAACATACTGCTCAATTGTTTTTTTATTCATTAGTTTACATATAATCGAATTAAATAGACTGCACTCAGCACGGATTACCACCGCATAATAATGAATATGGTGCGGATTTATGGCATTTTGCTTATACGTAATTTTGAATGCAGAATGTAAGGGTTATTAGTTTTGGATCTATACGTTTCATGAAAAATGAAAGCGTGTGAGCCTATTTTTATTTTGCCTTATTTGCTTTTTTTGAACAATGGCGCTTTAAATGCTTTTTTCACTACTAGCGTCTGATGACATGATTATTAACCTTTTTTCCACTTGTAAAGTAGGCTTTCTCGGCATTTGTTCAAAGTGGTTAATAATTTTTTTATTATAACTAGTAGTCAATAATGAGAACTGTCACGCTGTCACTTTTTAGAAAACACAACCGAAATTTCGCTCAATGAACGTTTAGACAAGTTCTCTAAAACGAATAATTGCCACCATTCGCAATTTCCAGAGAAATTAACATACTAAAATTCGAACGAAAACTCTTTGAAAAATCTCAATGACAGAACAAAATACGGCCTGTTTGACTTGTACTTCCACGTACTTGATTGACATGTTAAATTAAGAACAAACAATTCTGTCCAACCGTTACTCTTATCAATATAAATGTTAATTTAGAGGATTTCAGTGCAGTGTGAAAAAATAGTATATATACTTACGGTAGAGAAGTTATTATTTGCTTCGACCTTACACCCCTCGCGCAAGCGCCTCGAGATGTAATCTTGGTGCTCAGGCAATAATAGTGGACTTCTCTACCTTGATTATATAATGTACTTTTTATTATACCTGAATCAGCAATCTCCGTTTTAAACACTCAAATGCGTGCGAAAAAGGGCCTTTAAAACACACGTGCTTTAAAGTTGCTAAGTAACGATACTTCAAGTATGACTTTTGAAACTGTCATCAGGATGAAATAAAAAATCTCTTAGGTCGCTTTCTGTAAATGCAGAACATTTCTTTGGCTTTTGTACCTATCCTTTGGTTGAAGCTTTCACAAACGCGCGTAATTTGGGTATGCTTCCAAATTTGTTCCACTTTTTAATCGCAGCATTGCTTTGAAGTTTTGAATGAATGCACCAAAATATAGAAGATTTAAATACCTTTGACATTTCCTCATATATGCCAGCAATAGATGCATTTAAGACTGCATTCGTAAGAACTTCCTATTCATCCATGGAAACAACTTTTCATATTCTTTATAATAGGCCTTACTGGAGTTGGATTTTACACCTACCAACGTTTGTTTAGATTTTACAAGCGATTTAATGAACGGTGTATTATCTTTTTCAATGGAAATCGTTTAATTCACAAAGGCGATGATTTTTATAAGCAAACGTCAAGTGACATTTCCATGGCAATCGTGAAATTACGAACACCCAGTCCACTTAATTAGACATGTATTCGAGTATAACGTCAATATGATTTCATTGTATTTCCTATTTTTAAATTATACTGCAGGTATAATAAAAAATACTATATGATACACGTGTATAATTTATCTTTAAAGCACTTGCAACGTTAAAGGCACTCCGCTTTGCGTCGTGCCCTTAAACTCGTTGCGCGTGCTTTAAAGACTTGATTATACACTTGTACATAGCGATCAAAAATGAGTGACCGTCGAGTCACCTTTGGAATTTTTGTTTACATGGGAAATCGTACTTAACTCGAACTTCCAAAGGCGACTCGAAAGTCACTCATTTTTGATCGCCCGATATCTTAATATACTATTTGTTGCTTTTTTTTTAAAGTTCATGCTTAAATTGGATTGGGATAATATTTGGCAAGTTAAGTTAATTGAATGTGGTACCAAAGAATACTTAATAATAATTACTCTTTGGTGGTACAGAATGTTGGGTATTCGGAATGCGGCAATAGACAGTTTAACAAAAAAAAAGCTGAAATTGGGTCAAAGCTACTTTAAAAAAATTCCCGCGCACCTCTGCATCTGCAATTCTGTAGCTTTTTTATTTTCGCCCCTCCCCCCCTGAGTAGATGTATAAAACCGCCCCTGAGACTTGGTGACGATGCGATCCGTTAACAGGGCCTCGTATTATTGGTATGTACCGCCAATGGTGATGGCACTCCCCCTGTAGCAAAGGTGTCCCTGTTTCTTTGGAGCCGGACGCTGAGCTGGTCGATTTCGTCCTTTCAAAAGTGGGTGGCCTCGTCGAAGCACATGGCTCCGTTTTTTGACGAGTGGGAAAAATTGCCTGCAACGGGAGTGGTCGTAGCGGGGCGGTAGGCTGCACTGGAAGCGTATGTGCGAAGATGCTGTACAACAAAACTTGGCGTTGATATGTATGTGATTGAAATGTGTCCGGTAGATGCCTTGTTTATAGTTTTATGATTATTTAAAGAAACTGAAAATCTCCGACGAAACACCAAATTCGACTTCTTTCTTCAAATGCTGACACATTAATTTTTATGAGAGATATAAGAAAATTGCAAATGCAAATGCGTTTTGTATTTTCACGAACAAATCAGTAGTAATAATTTTCATAACCACTACAGATTTTGAGAAGCGGCATTTTGAAATTTGATCGGCTTACGAGCGAGAGTTGGTATAACCAACTCAATAAAAGCACTATAATGTTGAAAAACCAGAGACCATGTACCAGTTGTATGAAAACAAAACAAACATTTTATTTTACATTTATGTGTTCCAAAAATACTGTTTATAATAAACACTCTATGATGATGAAGACAAAGAAACTAATTTTTTTTTATTACATGCATAATCCATTTGAGCGCATCCTTTGTTATTCTACTCCCCGTAACAGAAGACGAGTTCACGCATATGCTCTCATGGATATCGTAGGCATAGTTCAAAACTCCACCTAACGTCCATTTATTTTGATCAGAAAACATGATCGGACTACCTTCGTCTCGGTCACAAATAGTATCTCCTCCATTAGGACGAAGACAGATGAGACCGTTATCTCTCTTCTGACAATTTACAATTGTAGTTTTAACTGCCTTTTTGATCCGTGTATCATCTGAAATATGATATGTAAACCTGTAGGAGTTAGAACTTCGCATTAAACCAGAGTTTTGCATCCAAGTTGCGGTATACGGATCAATATTTTCAATTAGCGCTAAATCATCAGATGGTAGACATATGGGACTGAAAAAATCTGAAATAGTGGACTTCGTGTAGTTATAATAATCAAACGTTATGAAGCACATACCTGAATCTACAGCTTTTTTCAGCTTTAAAAGTGCCAAATTTGTTGCTTGATATACTACCCACCTTTCCACCTCGACTTCTAAGAGCTCTAGATTCGACCAAAACTGCACTTTTGACCTGAAAATTCAATAATTATATAGGTAATTAATTAAGCATTCTCAAACTTACACAACGAATGCCAAACACGAAGAGCTAGTAATGACATATTGTTCACTAATTAGCGTTCCAATGCATTCAACTTTTGCCGAAGGGTTGTAAGTCCTTGTTTCTAAGGGAATTAAGGCCACCCATGGATAAATGTTACCGTTTTGTTCACCACAGTTTCTTTCGATGTTTAGTACGCGATGTTCAAGAAATTTAGAAGAGCTTATGCTAACGTAGATCACAAAAATATATAATTGTACACACTTCATGTCTGCCCAAACACCGTATCTTAATAAAATTGAATTAATGACTACAAGATTTGCAAACTTTGATCTTAAGTAGCCTTGGGTATCATTTCTCTTAAACTAACAAACAAGATAAACGGTAAACGATATTCTTTAAAGTAAACAAGAAAATTAGAGTGTGTGGTATATTCAATTCCTGGCAGATTCACTCACAAGAAGACGGGAAGATTCGCCCCAGAAAATCCACCCCCGGAAAATTTGTTCCTGATGGAAGATTCGCGCGCGGGATATTTATCGATCGGCAGTATATGCGCACCAGGGAACCTCACCATATCGTCTTGCACTTCCGAAAAGTAACGTAGGCGTCGCTACGTCAGCTCTCATAAGGGCCTAACTAATCCATACGCTTGGGAAAAATTGGTGTGAAAATCAATTTTTAATTAGCGCTCTAAAAATTTGTGGTTGACGGTAAATTGTTTAGCCCTTCGACTAAAAGTGATCGCATGCTAAATTAAAAATTAAAAATTTCACCTGGGGGACTGTTTCATAAAGTAAATTTGCTTTTCTCTTGTCACTGTTCATTTGCATAATTTAAAGTGCATCTATTTCATGAAATATTTTAGTCAACGTAGCATTTCGTTTGTTATTCATCTAGACTTTACACATGTTGAGTGTTATCACGTGTCAAAAATAAATAGCCATTATGGACCCAAACCCCCCTAGGTGGAACTTTTACTCGTTACTGTTTGCTTTTTAATGGACCTAACCTATATCATGAGAGAATCATGAGATCACTGAATTAACGCAACCATTTGAGATAGACCTGTGAATAAATATTGAGGTTAAGACTAGTTTCTTAAGATCAATCCGCTGGGGTCGAACTTTTCCGAACGGGAATTTTCCTTGTAGCGAATTCCTTGCGAAGAAGTATTCCACGGGGACGAATTTTCCAAAGCGAATCTTCCAACGCCAGACCACATAAAAACGGTGCTGTAACAATACTTAACTAAAGTACAACCTTAATCAAAAATTAGGATGAAACCAATTTTCATAAGGGCATTTTTAGGAATTAGACAAACTTGTTAAACAGCGTTAGAAAAATGTTGTTCGAGTCGAAACGAAGAAAAACGGAATATAGTAAACCGGACAGGCGCCACTTAGTCTTTACTAAATGAAGAAAAACGAGAATACTTACCAAAAAGGGGAACAAGGCAGGCTAAGAGATCCTTGTTTTGGTCTTGACATAAACAATAATTGTTGTCACAATCGAGGGCGATTTAATAAATGGTCTCAAAATATTGCAAATAGGTCACTGTAATATCTATGTAGATCTGAAATGTCAACACCCTATTTTCAGCGAAAAGGGATAAACTCGTAGTCTGGAAAATTATCAACATCACAATAGGCTTACGCAGAAAACAACGGAGCTATAATAAATTGTTAAATGATTATCAAACAAATTTAGTAATTACAATTAGATTGTATCGAAAACCAGTATGTAATCACACGTTATACCAAGGAGTTGTCGTCGAAAATTAAAAAAAATTAACTTTGAACTACAGGTCGGGACGGCCTTTTAAGCCCAGAAGGGCACTTGTCTGCTATATCTGTAACAGATAACAACACAAACAACCAAACAAGAGAGATAGTGAATAGCGTCGCAAATAAATATTACGGTAGCAATGTCGAACGTCTGACACTAATCTCGTATACTAAAACCGTAATTAATACTCATAAGAAACAGATAATTCAATTTACGTTACTAAACAAAATTTTGATCGACAATCTAATGCCGTACAAATCGGTGAAATAAAAGCATAAACGTGGACGTTAAACTTCAAGAAAATACTTTACGTGGCGCAAACAACTAATACAACAAATGTAATTAAAATGATTCGAAAGTAATAACCAACACCAGCAAATTCTTCGTAACCACAAGTAAGTAAGGTAAGAATCGAAATCGGTGTTTCAGACTAGTCTCGGTTTACCTTCAAAAACTAATTTACAATTCCAAAAAGATATGAAACGTATACTCTATTGTACGTAATTGACACAGAAAGGGGGTGGAATTTTGTCCAATTACCTTCCTTGGCAATATTGCTATATCCAAAATTCTGTAGGAAAGCATGATCGATTGACAATACAGNTACACTGAGAGAAAAATCTGTTAGCAGTAATAAAAAAAATTTAATACTATATGTGACTATACAACTTGTTATTCACGATAATTAAACAGAGTTTTCTGTACCTGTTTGATTACAGTCAAATTTTAATTTTATTTGTAATTACATCAATTACCGTAGGTATTTGAAAACCTGGCAACAGACATAAACTTTCTTTAGAGACAATTAAAGGCATTTATTATGAATAATATACAGTTTAATTAGAATAAGTGTACGTTAAATAACCTTAAATAGTACACTAAATTGTTGTAAGTATATAATATATTTAGGAAGATTTAACCGCAAAATAACTGTAGGTAGCAAAGCGAGGTGTTGTAGAAACGTAGTTAAATTAGAATGGTTTTTAATTGACTTACTACAGTACAACTTGTTTAATTGTGTTAAAAACCTATTCCTTAAGGGCAATTGGAATTAGTAATAACGTAATTCACAATGGTATTTATTAGAAAAAAATGAAAAACGTACATATTACACTTAAAAACAACAATCCTATACCTATCTAACAATAAAAAATGAAAATCAAATGAAAATGCCACTTAGGATACAATTAATAAATTGTGATGTAATATTCATTATTTACAATGATGCACTGATTGACATAAACAATATCTGAAAGCATAATATACTCGGTCGTGTCTGTACGTTCCACCTTGAACACATCACGACATACAATTTGAACAATTTTCATCAGTGAGGGCCAATTGCACCGTCAAAATTAAGTATCCCTTAAAGTTAAGCATAACTTAAATAAAATACCATAGCAACGATTGTCTTAATAATCGTTGCCATAGATTTTAAGTTCGACTTAACTTTAAGCAAGGCTTAATTTTTTTGGTGCAACTGGGTCTCAGTAGCTTAAAAACTTAAAAAATAATTTCGGTAGACAGCAATAGTAGCAAAAATATAACTCTTTCTACTTACCTAAGAAATAGTCGAAATATACATCAAGTCCCCATTTAATAAGTAATGACTTAAATTCGCTCATTTTGGGGTAGGTATGGCGTAAATTTCAGCTCTTGGTACACTAGGTACATAAACTTACACCCGCACAGCACAATGTATACCTGCATGCGTATATTAAGAAATTGGTATACCTACAGCTTTTATGGTCGTCAAAAAACGAACGAAAACGGCTTCTGAAGACGATTGCTACAAGTAGATGTTTACTCGCCATAAATTAGTATTTCATAACGCCAACTAAACTAAACGTTTGTGGCAGCTACAAAAACCTAATTAAGCAAGAATATCAAATTCAATGCATCAGTTTTATAACTGCAGCGAAAACGCTATCTGCTGTTATTGTACCTATGAAAATCTACAAGCGTTTAGCAAATATGTCTAATTGCCCTTATCCACCACTTCTAGAAAATCGATTGTACTTAACACAGTATATGAGATTATTGTCATAAATTGATAACTAATTGAGGCAAATAAAAAGACATTTATTGTAATTAAAATATTTTCAGGTAGACACTTTGATTATATTATTTCTCTCAGTCTGTAGTACGCGATGTTCAAGAAATTTAGAAGAGCTTATGCTAACGTAGATCACAAAAATATATAATTGTACACACTTCATGTCTGCCCAAACACCGTATCTTAATAAAATTGAATTAATGACTACAAGATTTGCAAACTTTGATCTTAAGTAGCCTTGGGTATCATTTCTCTTAAACTAACAAACAAGATAAACGGTAAACGATATTCTTTAAAGTAAACAAGAAAATTAGAGTGTGTGGTATATTCAATTCCTGGCAGATTCACTCACAAGAAGACGGGAAGATTCGCCCCAGAAAATCCACCCCCGGAAAATTTGTTCCTGATGGAAGATTCGCGCGCGGGATATTTATCGATCGGCAGTATATGCGCACCAGGGAACCTCACCATATCGTCTTGCACTTCCGAAAAGTAACGTAGGCGTCGCTACGTCAGCTCTCATAAGGGCCTAACTAATCCATACGCTTGGGAAAAATTGGTGTGAAAATCAATTTTTAATTAGCGCTCTAAAAATTTGTGGTTGACGGTAAATTGTTTAGCCCTTCGACTAAAAGTGATCGCATGCTAAATTAAAAATTAAAAATTTCACCTGGGGGACTGTTTCATAAAGTAAATTTGCTTTTCTCTTGTCACTGTTCATTTGCATAATTTAAAGTGCATCTATTTCATGAAATATTTTAGTCAACGTAGCATTTCGTTTGTTATTCATCTAGACTTTACACATGTTGAGTGTTATCACGTGTCAAAAATAAATAGCCATTATGGACCCAAACCCCCCTAGGTGGAACTTTTACTCGTTACTGTTTGCTTTTTAATGGACCTAACCTATATCATGAGAGAATCATGAGATCACTGAATTAACGCAACCATTTGAGATAGACCTGTGAATAAATATTGAGGTTAAGACTAGTTTCTTAAGATCAATCCGCTGGGGTCGAACTTTTCCGAACGGGAATTTTCCTTGTAGCGAATTCCTTGCGAAGAAGTATTCCACGGGGACGAATTTTCCAAAGCGAATCTTCCAACGCCAGACCACATAAAAACGGTGCTGTAACAATACTTAACTAAAGTACAACCTTAATCAAAAATTAGGATGAAACCAATTTTCATAAGGGCATTTTTAGGAATTAGACAAACTTGTTAAACAGCGTTAGAAAAATGTTGTTCGAGTCGAAACGAAGAAAAACGGAATATAGTAAACCGGACAGGCGCCACTTAGTCTTTACTAAATGAAGAAAAACGAGAATACTTACCAAAAAGGGGAACAAGGCAGGCTAAGAGATCCTTGTTTTGGTCTTGACATAAACAATAATTGTTGTCACAATCGAGGGCGATTTAATAAATGGTCTCAAAATATTGCAAATAGGTCACTGTAATATCTATGTAGATCTGAAATGTCAACACCCTATTTTCAGCGAAAAGGGATAAACTCGTAGTCTGGAAAATTATCAACATCACAATAGGCTTACGCAGAAAACAACGGAGCTATAATAAATTGTTAAATGATTATCAAACAAATTTAGTAATTACAATTAGATTGTATCGAAAACCAGTATGTAATCACACGTTATACCAAGGAGTTGTCGTCGAAAATTTAAAAAAATTAACTTTGAACTACAGGTCGGGACGGCCTTTTAAGCCCAGAAGGGCACTTGTCTGCTATATCTGTAACAGATAACAACACAAACAACCAAACAAGAGAGATAGTGAATAGCGTCGCAAATAAATATTACGGTAGCAATGTCGAACGTCTGACACTAATCTCGTATACTAAAACCGTAATTAATACTCAATAAGAAACAATAATTCAATTTACGTTAACTAAACAAAATTTTGATCGACAACTAATTGTCCGTACAAATCGGTGAAATAAAAGCATAAACGTGACGTTAACTTCAAGAAAACTACTTTACGTGGCGCAAACAACTAATACAACAAATGTAATTAAATTGATTCGAAAGTAATAACCTAACACCAGCAAATTCTTCGTAACGGCACAAGTAAAGTAAGTAAGAATCGAATCTGTTTCAGACTAGGTCTCGGTAACTTCAAAAACTAATTTACAATTCAAAAAGGATATGAAACGTAGTTACTCTAGTACGTAATTTGACACAGAAAGGGGGTGGAATTTTCCAATTAACCTTCCTTGTGCAATATTGCTATATCCAAAATTCTGTAGAAAGCAATGATCAGATTGACAATACAGTACAATAATGAAGAAAAGAATAAACTCCTAAAGCGGATCTAAAAAAGCGGCAAGCACCTTGGTGTAACCAGGCCCTGTTGGATTTGACCCATTTTTATTAGGCTTGTTTGATGTGGCATATAGGTCAACTGTGCAAAGTTTGTACCGAATAGGTTCAAGCGTTTGGCAGACACGACAGAGAGGCCTAGTGTCCCTAGTCGGCGATATGGACCTTCAAAAAATCGTGTCGGCGTTGTGGGCATTCGGCGAAATGTCCCGGCCTCAAACTTTACTCATCAGCGATTGCTTTATTATCTGCATTTCATTATGAGAACACCGAATGAATGCAGCAAAGCACTCAACAGTTATTTCAAAAACAAGTTTCTTAAGATACATCCAATAAGGCTTTCTTTAATGTAAATTTCCCTTAGTACAAGAAATTATTTCGGCAGAGGCGCCATTTCTGGAGGCGACGAATATTCCGAGCGAAAAGTTTTCCGGGGTGAAAGGTATAGATTAAATTCAAATTTTTCGATGTCTAATAATAAATCAGCATACTTTTGATTTATGACATGCTCGTTCTTCTCTTTTTGGCCTTTGGAGTGAGTGGAGCATTTCCATTTGTGCTGAGAAAAGCGATGAAACTGATTTAAAATGTTCAGCAAAGGATTAGAAATCTTTGAAAGGTTCCCTAAACGAAATTATGAATGCGTCTTCAAAGTTCTTGAGAACGCTTAAAAGGTTCTGAGAAAGCTATCGGATACCCTGGAAAAATGTTATAAAACTCTGGAGAAGCATGTTTCTGCTTATAAAACCCTGGAAATCATTTAAAAAGCTTCTCAGAATTTTATAATCATTTTCGGAGTTTTTAAGTGCATTCCATGAATACTACCATTCCTAGAGATTTTGAAAGCTTTCTAGATCTTAAGTCATATCTAATCTTTCCCAGAGCTAGTCGAAGGAAGAAACAATTAGAAAGGGTCAAAAAAGATCTAGAATGAGCCTAGTCTTTGAAGGGGCTTCCAACATGATATAAATGGCTTGAAGAGCTTGTTAAGGCACAAAAATGATTTGTAGAGATGATATAATAATGATTTGGGAAAGCATCTGGAAGGGTTTGGTTTGATTGCTTTAGAAAGCCATTTCTGGGAAGCATGCATTCATTTTAGATTGCTTTCTCTCATCTGGAAAGGCCCTAGATGTGTTTAGATTTTTCTGGGACTGTTGTGAATTTAATAGATTCTGGGCCCTTTTGGAGCGAGATGAGTTGATTTCTAACAAATACAAAAAGTAATCGTAGTTTTCACGTTAATAGACTCCAACCACATTCGTTTTCAGCCGTTTAACCAAAAAATCCGTGCACAAATACGAAAGTTAGCAGTATGCAGGCACAACCTATTCTTTGACACGTCATTAAAATGTGTTTTTATAAGGAGCACCTTAGCGTATAGAATTTATAAGCGCAATGAACGGTAAAAGTGTCGATTGTTCCAGCAAATGTGGAGAATCGACAATAGAAATGAAAACCAAAACAAAACCTATAGTCTAAAAGCCAGCCACGTTTTCGAGAAATTGCATTTATTATTCCGCATCAAACATTTACAGGTAGGTATGTCCGATGTCATCCGATAAAGCGCATTTTTTTAAAAGATTGTAGCATGCTATATTTATCGATGATTTCTTTCTTGTTAGATGATTAATGGGGAAACTTCACCAATAGATGTCTCGTCCAGACAATTCATTTTGCCTTTGTGTGTACTTTCCTCCGACAAAGATATTCGCCCGTAAAGTATTGACATAACCAATAGATATATTTCTTACAGGCGCCCCAATCGCCCTTTGTGAGTACCATCCTCCGACAGTCTGTTCTTGAGATATAAGGAATTATTTATATCTGATCACGATAAAGAGTTGAGGAGTAGGGTATGGTTGGTAGAAATTAATACCTTTCGTTGAGACATTTCATTAGAGTACCATGAAGGATAAAACCAATTACCCAACTACCCCCGCCCTAGGCCCTGATAAGAGATCTTTAATTGGAATACCGTAAAAGATCATATTAAATTCTACCCTCTCCCCCCTCCCCCCGGCCATCTACTGATCTCAGAAAGGAGTCGCACAGAAAAGTTATAGTTTATACAAACCAATTCATTTCGGTGATACCGTTCATTAAACTATAGAGAATTTAGAATTGAAAGGTAGAACGCTAGCTCCCCCCCCCATTTACAAAAATTTTACTTGTCGCCGCTAAAGGCAGCGTATGCAAGTCCAGTCGGTTGTCGCATGTTAAAGTTTAGCACGTTTTACATTCAAAAACAGCGTCTCAGGAAATAATTCGTGGGGGGGGGGGCTTTTAAACAGCGAAATTTGATGGCCGTCTGGCACACTTAGACAGCGAAATTTGATGGCATAATAGCAACAAATTCCAGCACTCTAGGACCATAAAACCGCAGAAGTGGATCCGGACGCACGGACAGACGGACGGACAAAACGCAAACAATAGCACATTTTTTTAAGTCTTAAAAAATGCGCTAAAAATACATTACAGAACCAGCTTTCTAAAATTTGTAGACGTTGCTAGCTCTCTTACTACTAGAACGATCAATTTCAAAGAGGAATTATTGGTACGCGAATAATATAAATATTAACTATTTTGCAGGGACTATTAATGAGTATAGTTTAAACAAATAAGCTCATATAATTTAAGCATAAACTTTGCGAAGATCTCAAAACAAACAAATGATAGTTTTAATTATACCATGTATACAAGAAACTGAATAAAGTTTAATCATCCATCTTTTCGACAATCCAATCCACAATATCGTCCGTAATTTTTAATCCAACAGCCGGACTACTTCGCGCGCAAGGTGATCCATCGCTATCAAAAACGCTAAGCAATATACCATGTAACACCCAATTGGACCCATCGAAATGTGTAATGGGACTGCCCTCATCACCATAACAAGCCACCTGTTTCCCAGTCGGGTGAAGGCACACTTGATATGAGCTTTTACAACGTGTAACTGTACCTTCATTTATCTTCTTGGAAACTAACGTTGACCCTAACAATCTGAGATAAGTGCACCGGATAAAAATTAAGATACAGACCTGCTTCTCGCGTCCAACTGACAACGTTGAGAATTGTATCACTGATTGGTCTTCCGTATTGTTGAAATGGTAAGCATATTGGTTTTACAGTGTCTGGAAAACAAATTTAAAACTTTTTTCTTGCGTGGTTTTCTTACCCGAGAATTGAATGTCGGTACCCAATTTCAATAGTGCAACATCTGCCTTGTCGTAGGTGGTCCAATGCTTTACGGGAGCACGTACCATATCCGACAAGGTATTGGAATCATTATGACCGAGGAAAACTTCAGAGCTGACAATTGATCAGTAGTAGCTGATTTAAAGGGCTACATTTGACTTACACAACAAACTGCAGACAGGTGGAGGCCGTTATAACATATCTCTTACTAATAAGTGCACCTATGCATTGAACATTCGCTCCAGGGTTGTACGTGCGCGTCTTCAACGGGATGAAAGTAACCCATGGGTGAAGATTCTCTTCAATGCTATTCGCGTGGGTACTGCATTCGTATTTCAAGTCTGCAATGCGTTCTTCGATACTGTTCCCCCAAGTCGTGGCAACAATAAAAATTATACAGAAACATTGTATTTTGATCTGCATTTTGGAAATCTAGTATATTTTCGAATTAAGGCACCTGTAATTGAAGGCGAGGTTAACAGTGTACTGTATATTATTCATAAACTTTGTGGGACTATGCGTTAAAACCTACGGTATAAAGGTTAACATGAATATTAGGTCAATATGTTAATAGAAGTTCTTTTGCAATTCAAATATCTAAATAATGAGGGACACGATTGTGTAATTTCATAGGTGGTTGCAAAACAAAACTTTTATCTTGAACAAGTTCAATTTACTCAATACTAATGCAATTTTTGCTATTTCAGATACACATCGAGGCAGCGGTAAGACAGGAACCTGTCCATCCACCCCTACAGGTCCGTGGGTTTGCACGAGTGTCTGCAGTAACGATAGCCATTGTCCGGGTTCCAGAAAATGTTGCAAAAATCGTTGCGGCGCGTTCACTTGTACTAATCCTATCCGATAATACAACTTGAAATTACAGTGTTACTGGTGAGCCCATGTGGGCAACCAAGTACTATTTTCCAATACGATGATGGACTCTTACTTTCGCTTCAGTTATTAAGTGATTATTAGGTACAATATTCCGTGCATAAATAGCTACATATTAAATAAATCGTAAACATTTATATGTAAATATTTTCCTCTTACAACATTTAAAACTATGCATATTTAATTAAGAATTATGATCAAAAACGTGAAATTAGTAGAAATATTGGTTGAAAATTGGAGTTACTTCTAATTAAAGTATATATTAATTAGGCGACCGTAACAACGGGTGTCAAACTTCAAGGATGTAAGCATGGTAAATCGATGCATAGGTACACTTATATTTTTGTTTAGAAATAGCAAGGTTTTTTCGTAAATATGAAGCCTAATAAGGATGGTATTGTACTGGATTGTAAATATGCGTACTTGGACTTACATGCACTTCCACTTTTGTTACACAGTCACAAAGATACCCCTTCAGCGGAGAATGCAAGTATTTATAAAGGCCATGCATGTCTGGCCAGTAATCCAGAAATGGGTAACTTAGTGTACCTTTGATCTACGTATTAGATATGTTGCTACGTAAACATGAAAACACTGCGAACACGGATAGATCATGTAATTATAATAATAATTGCGCATTTTAAACGTAAGGGGCTTCCCATGGATTGATTACATAAGGATGTTGAGGAGGTATATTGTTGTAGGTACTAGGATGTAAATGTGTAAATGAGAAAAGCAAACAATAAAATAGTAAGTAGTTTAGTAGTCATTGTCATGAAACAAAAATAGACTATTGGCTCATACCTGCCTGTGGTAGATAGCAAGAAATTGTAAATTTTCAATTGAACTCAATGGTTACGTGCATATCGACTTTCAGAGTTAAGTAGTGGTTAAACTTAACTACTGCAGTGGAGATAATTTAATTTCATAGTCCATCTGACTTAAGCTTATTAAGCAATAAACCTTTTTTAGAAAATGCATCAAAAGGTTAAGACCTCTACAGAATTAACTAGGAACTGAAAAAATAAAAGAGATTACTTTCCACATATAAGCTAAATCGGAAGACTTTGTGCAAACGGTCAGTGCTGTTTCTTCCAATTTACATGAGGAATAAGATTGATTTCCAAAAGTGCTCTTATCGTATCGATGATATCAATACCTGCCTAATATTATGAAAGCAAATTGTAACGTGTTACATTTTATGCATTTCAAATTGAATTATATTTTTAGCTTCCTAGCTTGGGCCGGATTTTTGAACAAAAATTTTGGAGCGCCGCAACGGCATTGAACTTTTTTCAACCTAAAATTTTTTTAAGTTATTCGAAAGACCTTATTTTTCTATGTACAATCTATAAAAATTGTGCCAGGTTTTATTAGAAAAAAACTAAGAAAAAAATGTGAACGTTAAAAAACTAAAATTTGATTACCTATTTGAATTTGTTGCCATTAATTTCTAAGATAAGCTCTATTATTGATTTTCAGGAATATTTTCTTTCAGTTAAAAGTAGGTTTTTTTAGAGAGTTTGTAGTAAGGATTTGTTCTTTTTATCTCATTTAAGCGTAATAATAAATGTATTTCAGGTTTTTGGTTTTGGAATCGTTCTGGTAAGTACAGAGGGATATTGATGATTAATGAGATATCAGTATAGGAAAGCAATCGACTGAATTTGTCCTATTTGTAACCTATTTTTACCTGAGTTGGCTGACAAGTAAAAGGTAGGTAAGCTCCCAAACGTATGACAACACAAGACGAAGAAAATTGTGAGAAGAATAACTACCGTTGAACATTTTTGAAAATGTTGGTTGAAAAAGCGTATGCCTTTTAAAAAGGTTCAACTCACAACTTCCAAAAGTTTCACGTCCAAACAAATAACACAAAAAAGGCAGGTTAGTAATTAATTTTCAATAGTACGCAGCTTGCGCAGCACATACTCGTTAAACTAAATAATAACAAAATCGATTAAAAAAACAAATGAATTTTAGTGGTATTCGTTACTTACCTTCATTGAATAATCCGATACAACTGAATACCAAACGATCCTCGACACATACCTCATTTTTACAATACACTTTAAGGGGTTGATTCTGTTCCACCAGATCAACATGGCTTGTCAAACAAATTTTTTTTATACATACGTCAAATGTGACATTTCGCTGATAATATTCAAACAGCGAAGTATCGTTTCGTTGCTAGGGGCAGAGAAGCGGAAAACAGGCAGAGAAATTTTACTTCTCTGCCTCTTTTGATTTCTATGCCTGTGTTGACTAGCTGTCTATTAGTCTATATACAAAAATTTCCAGCATACTAATAAAAAAAAATCGACGGACGGACGGACGGCAAAGTACAGCCAATAGCGATTTTTCACTTTGAGGAAAATACGCTAAAAAAACCGATTGCGTATGCGCAAAATAAATTTTTTGATTCGGCATTAGTTTTACTTTTACTTGAGGTGCCTACATACAATATTTCATTCAAATATCTCAACAAATAAAAAACCGACTGCACATGCGCGAAACAAATTTTTTGATTCGGCATTAATTTTACTTTTATTCGAGGGGCCTACATACAAATTTTAAATAAAAAAATGGGTTTGCCCAAATACAAAAGTTGGAATGCACATGCGCAATTTTTTGTGCATCTGCCTGAGGTTTTAGGAACTAACACAGAAAACCAGACATTCATATGTTATTTTTGTAACAAGTGTTACAATATCGTGTAAAAGAAACCCTTTTTGGAGGTTTGAACAGTTTTTGGGCTGTAACTTTTTGCCCCATCGGTCTACGTAGCTGAAAAACAATAGCCACCTTTCTTATATCCTGAAGAACATGTGCATCAATTTTCAAAGCGATTGGACAGTTCTACACATAGTTATCGTGCACACGGACAGACAGACAGCAATACAAAATTATAAACGATCTCGAGGATAGTTAATAAACAAAGACTATGGAAAATAATAGAAAGGAATGCTCACTCTTAACAACAATTTCGCCAGATTGGATTACCACTTTGTCCTGTATCACAACTCACCAAAAAACTGCGTTTTCTCTTATCTTGGAACTGGAACCTCGAACGTATCAAGTCGGTGCCGACCAAACTCACAATGTTCTATAACTTCAATCTACAACCATCAACTTACAATCTGGCTCGGAAGACCAAATTTTATGTATACGATGTGTACATACAGAGCTGGGCAGAATACTTTCAAAAAGTATTTGAATACTAAATAGTAAATACTTTACACAAATCAAAGGTATTTGAATACTAAATACTTTTACGTCCAGCACAAGCGAATACTAGATACAGATACATTGAAAAGTATTCAAATACTTTAAAAAATAAGTATTCAAATACTTTAGAATGTATTCGAATACTTTCAAAAGTATTCTAATACTATCAAAGGTATTCGAATACTTTGAAAAGTATTTCATTAACTTACTTTGAAAAGTATTCGAATACAGTAAAAAGTATTCAAATACTTGTCACTCAAATACATTAAAAATTTAAAATAGTATACTAGATAAAAGTCTTAATACTACTTAAAAAATCAAGTTATACTTTGTATGGGGTTAGCTTTTTTTATATTTCTATTGTTATATACAAATTTAAGGGGAGTAAAAGCGTAATATTATTATTATATTATTATATAGGATAGGAGGTACCTACCAGGGTCTTTCTCATACCAGTTATATCCTTAAGAATACGTGTACCAGTTTTCAAAGGATCGTGCACATGATACGTACGCCTTTCTGAAATTAATCCTAGCGATTTTGGAACAGATCCATTTTTGACCATCCGTTTGTCCGTGTGCATGATAGATTGTTTAGAAACGTGCGATCGCTTTGAAAATTGGTGAAAGGTCCCTATTGTTTTTAATTTAAGTTACGTAAACTATCGAGTCAAAAAGTTTCACTCCAGGATCGTTCGGTGTTCCAGTTGTATCGGATTTTTATAATTGATTTTGTGACAATGAATTGAATAACTTAAAAGTACTTGCCTTTTTTTGAGGCCGGAAAAAAATTGTCTGAGATCGACCGGGAAAAAACATTTTCTTATAGAATTTGGCCCGTAGAATCCATAATTTCAAACAGTTTGAAGATTGGGCTACTAGTTCAAAAGTTACAGCCCTTTGAATTTTCTTTCGAAATTGGTTTCTAGTCCATAACTTTTGGTTGAGAAGTCTGATCGAAAAAGTACGAATTGTTTTAGATTCTACGCACCAAAATTAATAAGAAAAAGTGTTTTCCCGAGAAATTTTGGTGCAGTTCATTTTTGGTAAAAATGGAAGGTTATACACTGCCTTTTTTTGAGGCCCGAAAAAAAATTGTCTGAGATCGACCGGGAAAAAACATTTTCTTATAGAATTTGGCCTGTAGAATCCATAATTTCAAACAGTTTGAAGATTGAAGAAATTTGGTAAAAAAGGAAGGTTATACACTGCCTTTTTTTGAGGCCCGAAAAAAAATGTCTCAGATCTACCCGGAAAAAAATTTTTCTTATAGAATGTGGCCTGTAGAATCCATAATTTCAAGGGGAAGGTTAATTATTCAATACTATGCGAAGAATTCGAATACTTCTCAATGTATACCTTGCGAAGTATTCGAATACTTCTCAATGTATACCTTGCGAAGTATTCGAATACTAAATATTTGTGAAAATATTTGAGCTACAAGTACAACTACTGCTTCCATAAAAGTATTGTAACGTGATTTATAAATTCGGGTTCGATTTATATCAATATTTATTAAACAAAACTAAAACACTATAAAAACCGTACAATTTATATCGATTATTTATATCACACACTTCGCAATTTATATTTCCGCGCTCGATGTTTCATACGTACTCGATCTCGTTCGGTAGTAGACTGCTGCGATGTTCGGTCCGCAAGCATTTATACACGCAAGCAATGTAAGTCCAGAACATTCGCGTAATTACCGGAATATTCCTATACAAATCCCACTATCGCGCGCGTAGAAAATTCCAGAGCGCCAAAGGCGACGTCATGTCTGGAGCGTTTCCGTTACAGTATTTAATTACAAAGTATTTGAATACTAAAAAGTATTTACAAAATCGAATACTGCCCAACTCTGTGTACATTAAGTACATACCTACCACCATAAGTTGGACGTACTGTGATATTTACACCCCGACGGGGCTATAGAAGAATGTTGTTCTATGGATCCTCGATTCGGGCGCATCGGATCATTTGCGACTTGCGAGACGTGAAGAGATTGAACAAACCAGTGTTAATCAAAATGGCTTTTGGACAGACGCTTGAGAGCAACTACTCTGGTGCTGTGGACATAGTGGCAAAGGTCGGAAGTAGAAGATTTAGCAGTGTTGTCAGCGAAGCTCTTGACGTTCCCGGACTGAGGTACAATTTGTTTTCGATTCAACGTGTAATAAGTATGGGTAATACGGATAATTGGAGATACAAGTGGTATTCCGGAAAAATAGTGTCGACATTCTGAGAAATGGCGAAGCGGTTGAGTTCGACGGTTGTCAAGCAGACATCGAGTCGGATGAAAACAAGTATTCGTGTGGTGCATTTGCGTTAAACGCCGAGAATTACGTCGAGAAACTTTCTGAGAGTACCGAAAACTTGAAGCTACGACCTGATTGAAGGTAGCGAAAGGAGGCAATAGACACCAAGTTAAAATCATTGGCCGAAAACGAGACGTAGGAGCTGGTCGATCGGCCGGAAGATCGGAAGCCATTGTTTGCAAATGGGACGAACAAAGATGGCTCCAGCATCAACAAGCCGAAGGCGAGGGTGGTAGCTAGGGGTTTTACCCAACGCTATGGATTCGACTACTGTGGGACCTATTCCCCGGTGACCAGGATGTGGACGGTTCGCATGATGCTCGTCCTGGCAAACCAGCAGAACCTTATTGTCCGACAACGTAAAAACTGCGGCATCATGAAGCTTAATCAGCCGGACTTTACTGAAGCGGTTCTTCGTCGGTTTGGCATGGAAGTACGCAAACCGGATACTAGCCCCATGTGCCCAAACTTGCAGTTGCAGAGGCCAAGGGAAGATCAGGTGCTCGATAAGCCGTACCGAGAATTGATTGGCTGCTTGACATACCTCATGTTTAAACGTCCTGACCTTAGTTCGGCTGTGTACTATTTCAACCGGTTTCAGGCAAACTCCTCAGAGGAGCACTGGTCGTATTTGAAGAGAATATATTGAGATTTCACAGAGGAACGATGCAGCACGGCCTATCTTCGACTGAATCTGAATGTAATGCTTTGGCGAATTGTTTGTGTGAAGCCCTTCGGATCAAAAATAGGCCAGTAAAATTACATAAATAAAGGTAAATCGAAGAAAAAAAATCCGGGAGTTTTGAAAATGGGCACATTTGTTCCTTAGTTCAAGTAACTTAATTAGGTTCAAGAAAATAAAAAGTGCTTATGGGGGGGGGGGGGGGGGGGAGCTCGACAGATTTTGTGCGAAGATTAGTAAACGTCAGAAATCAGAAAAAAATTCTCTATAAAATGACACAAAAGTTAACATGACTTCCATAAGAAAAAACAAAGTTGATGTTGGTTGACTTTAGACGCAACATCAACATTAAAATTTAAAAGTGGCATCTTATAGAAGGAAAAAGTGGACATAATAATGTGTCATTTATTTCGAAATATCCTTTTTATATAATAATAAAAAGTAGTCAGAATTTTTCAGTTTCAAAACTGCATTTTTTTCAGCATCAAAATACTTTGCCACATTTAAACTACCTACCTATCTCTTACAGTTCCCGAGATTCCCATGGTGGCCCTAGAATTTGAATCAGCCTGTAACTGTGTGCCAAAATCCATGCTTCTAACCAAAAGTGCAATTGTCTACTGAAAATTTGGGTATATAGTCTCCTGGCGGTCTTCTAGATGTTCTATCCCGTATACAAAACAATGAATTTTTTTCAACTAATATGTTAATATTTAAAAAAATTTGTTTCATGGAACGACTTCTGAACTAGACGAACACCATAGAAGCTAGAAGCATTTGCACTTTTCTGCGTTTCTGAGCATAAAAAATGTTCTTTATTAACTAAACACATTCATAAGATTTACTTCTATCCCAAATTTTGGGCGCTAACATACCTTAGTAGGCGCATTATACCTATCTATCACCTAAAGCTGGCAGTAATAAAAGGATCACACTGTTTTTTCACTTTAATTATTTGCCATTTAAACAATTTAAATATTTATGCAACAGAACAATAATATAATTATCGACATTGGGATTCCCTATGACACATTTCTCTTTGATATTCAAAGTTGGACCCGAGGCAATTAACAAACATGATAGTGTAACAGAACTAATCTGCTGCTATACCATATAAATTTGCATTACCGTAAGCTCGTTCTAGAAGTATTTCGTTTTACAAAATGAGCTGACGTTTACGATAAATTACTTACAAAACAAATTGCAAAAACGAATGCCACCTCCGAGTGTATCTTAAAAACCTACATACAAATCTTAACTTTCTACCATCGTACACGCAGATCCGACGAGTAATTACGACCACCTTAATATGAGTAAGTTGGCTTAGCGTAGTGTAGATTCAATTTAATTAGGACATTTTAGCGAAAATACTTATTACATTAGCAGTTTTATCGACGTTATTGTACGTCGCACAGGGCGTATCGCGTATGTGACCACTAATTTATTAAATTTTTCTTTAAACGGTCTACTTTTCAGCCTCAGAATCTTGTCCAGTATCGAACCAAATGACCATATGCACCCCCATATGTAAGGACGACACGCAATGTTTTGGTCAAAAATGTTGCCCAAACATATGTAACACAAAATCGTGCACGTCCGCAAATCAAAGAGGTTCGCAATCGAAATATTCGGGATCTTCGTCTGGCGGATCATACGGCAGTAGTTGTAAGTAAAATTTTAAAAAAATTTCTTTGATGTTAATTTGGGGTTGTTTTCAAGCTGGAGGTGCTGGAAGTTATTGTGGAAATGTAAAGTGCAATTCGTTCCAAAAATGTAAAATGGACCCCGCTACGAAACGCGACAAATGCGTATAAAGATAAAGAAACATTTTTCATATCAAGGCATATTTTGAATTACTTTGTGGTAGGCACTTTTTTCATTATTGATTAGGCACCTGTCTGGAAATTTAAGTTTTGGGTACCTACCATACGTTAGCGTGACATTTTATAATTACTTTAACTGTTTTGTCGTGGGGGTACCTGCAATTATGTTTTTGCGGTTGTTCTCTTTTTTGTTCTGTTATTCTGAAAACTATTAAACAAATACGATTATTTATCCGTGAAGGTTATTCGTGTTACTTACCCGTGAGCAATCATCAATCATAAATTGTTTTAGTGGATTTGCTACATCATAAATTATGTTATATATTGCAGCTTATATTTGCTGGTGGTGAGGAAAATGTACTTTTCTAGTGCACTTTCATTTTCAAATAATAAAAAGTGTACTTTTGCGCTCTTGATGTTTGTCTGTCTGTCTGCCTGAATCACAAAGGCTCCGGAACTACACCACTTACCGACTTGGTATTGGTATTGGTGTCATATTCCATCAGAAATTAAAAATTATTTCACGTTTGTATTCTCGTTAAGGCATGAAATGTCCATAGGGGCTATTGAAATCGAAAAAAACAATTTTGAAAGTGTACTCTTGGCCTATTTGCTTACAAGCGGATTAACGAATTTTCTATTTTAAACCAGACGTAAACAACCCCCTTTATTATCGTCGTTGAGAAATATATTAACAATTGACAGCGTCTCTTCTAGAGTTTAGTACGATGTTATAACCAAGGGAGTCACCAGAGGGGGGCAGGTGAGATTTAGGTGTAGATTAAAAAAAGTAGCAAAATGCAAAGCAACCATTCCAAAAACCAAAGTGTCCTGGTTTTCTTGACCGATAATTCCTTATTACAATTATTGTGGTTATAGAGGTAAGACAGTACAAGAGTAAAAGTTTATGTGCTCTGCACTATACATACAATTAATAATTTTTTTATTCTTCATATGTCAACTTGCCCCTCTCTGGGTCATCAGCTGGCGACGCTCTTGATGGTTATAACCACACAACATCTGCTGTTGATACAGTAACGTCGGCATCAATGAATTACTTGGTTTTTTAGATATAACCATTTCTCATATGATACATTACACGTACTACGCAAAGTCATTCCCTGATGACTACATATGCCTCCAAAATGAGATGAGCAAGGGCCCTATGGAGCTCTTATTTGTTTGAAGCAAACCATATTCTGTAAAAATGCAGGTTAACCCAATTGGTTGTCGCGCGTTAAAGCTATGCACGTTTTACTTTCAAAAACAGCATCTCAGGAAAGAATTAGGCAAAAAAATCCAGAACTGGAGGCCCATTCCCCAAAAAATAGTTCACAATCGCAGAAGTGGGTCCGGACGGACGGACGGACGAAACGCAAACAATATAAGTAGCACATTTTTTTTTATTCTTGTGAACTCATATCTGACGCCACACAGTGTCTGAGACACAATGGCAGATTGTTCAGTAATTTCAACAGTACACAAAGTGTGTGTGGCCGTGGGTTATGTTGTGTTGCATCAAAGAGTATACAACTATACTCTTTGGTTGCATGCGCCGCGTGTGTCTCTATGTGGCGTGCTCCACGCCTTACAGCTTACACTACAGTGCCACCATGCTCAAAAAAGCCCCGGAAAATATGCGAACTAATTTTGAAATAATTCAAGCTGGCCAATAGAAAGTTTGCAAAACCACGCGATACATTCCGCGGCATAATTATTAATTATTCCGTTTTGACAGTTGACGCTTCACGTTATTTTAGTTTACACTTTTCCTGTTGTATTTGCTTTATTTTACGTTTTCCGTCTCCAGTTTTATACAAACTCGTCTTTTTTCAAGCCGCATATAGCTTGGATCTACGATCTGATAAGGTATGTAATTCCCTTAAAGTGTTTTTAAATTTTGTATCAGAATGTACGGTCCAAATTTCTAGCGCCCTCGGACACGCCCTGTCAGGGACTTTCTGAGCGTGGTGCCACTGTAATCATTCTAATCACTAATGTATCTGTCTATCTGAACGATTGAATGCGACTGAAACCATTTGTACAAACGGCATTTGTTTGAGTGTGTGAGAACTGAAAGATGTTTTTAAGTAATGGGAATAATGACAGTAAAATTTGACGTTTCATTTTTTCAAGAATTTTTGTTCAAATTAACCTATCTTTATATTCCCAAACATTTTTTTTATTTGTAAACTAACATTCCACGAAGCCAAAGTAATGTGTAAACATTAACAATTTTAATTTTTAACTCCTTGTTCTAGTTTTACAACCAAAATGTTATTAGCATGATAGAAATAATTTTTAAAATGTTCAAATCCCTTTTCTTTTTTATTGTTTCTATATTTAAACGGGCACTGTGTTGTTTTCGAAGACGAAAGCGAGTAAATGAATTTGTTCCTCTAACCCAGGTTGGTGTTATTTCTGAAAAAAGTATCCCAAATGAAATGGACAGTTGGAATGACTGGAATGAGCCAGTGGCGACACCAACAACTGTACAAGAACAAATAGAATATTATCGACAACAAGCTATTGCAGCTCGTCAAGTAAAAGAGGAACCTCAAGAGACACAAGAAAATTTCTTCGAAGATATGATGCCCACTATTACAGCTCAGACTAAAGTGTACATAAATCCAAATGTTACGCAAAGTGAGACGTCTAATAAATTTTCACTGGCTCCTGAAAACATTAACGTGATGGTGAGACTTAAGTTTAAAAATAACAAATTATAATTTGTCTAATCTTAGAGCAAAGAATTGGAAGAATGGGACGACGAAAGGGGATGGGAAGACCAGACACTCGATATCGATGCTAGGGAAGCATTGAAAGAGAGCAGAAGAGAAGCTAGACAGAAGAAAGCTTGGGAACAACAGCAACGACGACAAGAGAAACTGACACGAGGAACCTTGGGGGCTAAGGTTTATGCGTAGCATTTAATATCCCAAGTTATTGTTAAAAAATGTTTGTTATTATAATGTGTACTGCTCCGATGAAGCCAAAACGTAGGTTTTAGGTGCTATATGTAAATAGTGGGAAATAAAAAATATTATGTTTAGTAATATAATAAAATAATGTATGTATTCATTCAATTTCATATTTAATTAAGTTAAGAGACATTGTAAATAGTATGATCATGAGTTTTTCAAATGCAAACGAATAAAAAGAGTGGATTCCACACTAGACTAGCATTAATGGTTTTTTTTATCTAAAACTAACTGGATTAATTGTTTTCATCTGATACAAAATTTTGTCTAGATCAGATTTTTCCGCACTCCCGTTTAGAGCGATTATCTTAGGGTAGGTATTTTGGAAAATCCAAAGGGACACGCACAAAAACCTAAGTAAAACTTTGGTATACAGCATTCTAGATAAGAGGGTTATCTCAATGTCTCTTATATTTGGCGCCACACAATAAATTTGTCAAATATAATCAATTGTGTGTAACATTACAGTCTATCTGATCGCATATTCAAACTTCTGGTTTAACTGGAAATCGATGCAACTTTTGTTTTTCTAATGCAATACAGTATTTTACAATATCTAAAAAGAGCAATCAATTTTCTGTACGCCTACATAGAATATGCATATGGTTGATATCATTGATATACAAAATGTTCGTTATTCAATATTTAGAAAATTTGTGAAATCTAGCACGACATGTGCCATATCATACAGAAGAGACCTACAATAACTTGTTCAATGTTTCATTTTTAAGATTTACTTCTGCACGATACCATCTCCCCGTGTAATACAACAGGTACCTACCATACATATTATGACAGCACACAGCATGCTGATTTTATACATTTTGTAAATATTGGTATTTCTCAATTTTGTTGTATATCAACCATATTTTAATAATAATAATAATAATTTTTATTCGTCCCTTGAACTAAAGCGTTGTGGGATATGTCATTACAACCCAAAATACAACAAGTAAAAACAATTAACAAAGAATTTAACATACATATGCGAATTTCTTTATAATACGTCCTCTAAATATTCCTTTAGAGAATAATAACTTTTCGCAATTAGTAACTTTCTCACTGCATTTTTAAAGTGAGAGGCAGATAAAATGCAATTTGTTGTATACTCTTATAGGCATAATATGTAACAGTTTTTTGCCGACAAGGTATATTTATGGGCCGGTCGCGGTATATGGTCATTCCCCCCCTTATTTCATATTTGTCCTGCTCCTGCTTCTTGCTGGAGAGGTGAATTTTATGTTTACGAACATAGATGGCGCACTGTAAAATATAAACGGAGGGCGCTGTAAGCACATGCAAGTCTTTGAACAGTACGACGACACAAGCTGTGATCGTCCAGTTAAATAAGATACTATCCATTCGTAGGCAATACCTCGGATTCCGTAGTGTTGTAGTTTGTATAGAAGGAGATCATGATCTACCACATCAAATGCTTTGGAATAATAAAAAAAAAAGTCCAGTGACTTTTTTCCCTAATTCTAGATTTCTGAAGATACAACTTACAGATGAGAGGACTTCATCTTCGGTGAATAATCCTCTTCGGAAACCAAATTGGTGCGGATCCAGGATCTTGTGGTGTAGTAGGAAGTTCATTAATCTTTCATAAAACGCTTTCTCAAGAATTTTTGAGACAGCGGATAGCAAAGATATAGGTCGGTAATTGCCAAATTCGTTTGAGGCACCTTTTTTGTGTACCGGAACCACAATTGCAGATTTTAGTACCTTTGGAAATGTGCCATCCGCAGATTTATTTATTAGGTGACACAGCACAGGCGTGATATCTTTAGTGATGTGCTTCATAATAGCACAAGGAATTCCATCACTTCCTGCAGAATACAGAATTTTATGTAGTCCTACAGAAATTGATTGCTCTTTTCGAATAACGTAAAAAAATATTGTACTTGTACTATATAGCATTCTCTGACAACACAATTTGAAAAATGGATTTACTTAGTTTTAAAAATTTTTTCTTTATTTAAGTATATCAATTTTAAAATTTGATCGTTTTTCATATAAGAAATCCGTGTTTAATACCAACAATTTACACTTACACTATATTCCATCCTCATTTTTATGCTCTATCCGTTATGATATCCCCATTTTTCATTTTCTAACAACTCCAAGTAGGTTAAAAAAACATAGTATTTTAGATAATGTCTGATTGTTTCCGGTGAAACAGTAAGCGACAATCAATCGTTTTTTTGGATAAAATATGCATATTTTTTCAATCCTATCGTTGATTGGCTAGGTATATTGACTGTCAGACGGGGGGTAAACCGCAACCCAAATTTTGTACACTGATTTCCTATAAATATTAGATTTCCTCTGAGTTCCTTCGAGTTCTTCAGAGTTCATTTGATTTCTTCTGAGTTTCCCTGATTTCCTCCGAGTTCCTCCAACTTCCACGAAATACCTCTGATTTCCTTGGAGTTCCGTCGATTTTCTTTTGGAGTTCCTGTGAGTTCCTCTGATTTTTTAAAGTTTTTTAATTATTTCATTGTTATTCCGTTGATTTAACAATTTCCTGGTAAGTAAAACCCGAGGTAAAACCATAAAAAAAATATAAAAGTGTCAAGTTAAAAAGTAATCGTAAACGATTTACATAAAGCGCATTTCCACTTGCATTCATTTCCCATTTGTAAGATGCAACTTCTGTTAAAATCGTAAAAATCCGGCCACAAATATAAAAGATAGCGTTGCACATGGGCAATCCATTGTTGACGTGCTACTTCAATTTCAGTTTATGAGAAGAATTTCATTTCAATGCTTTTCTAAATAAGAAAGTTGAAACTGCGCATGCGCAAACCTAAATTTTGAAACTAATGTTAGATTTTCCTTTGTTCCAAGCGCCTAAGTATCAAATTTCACTTAAATGCTTCCATAGATAAAAAAAGTTGGCACTGCGCATGCGCAAAACCAAATTTTGAAATTGGCGTTTGATTTTCCTTTATTCCAAGTGCCTATGTATCAATTTCATTTAAATTCTTCCATAAATAAAAAGTTGGCACTGCGCATGCGCAAAACCAAATTTTGAAATTGGCGTTTGATTTTCCTTTATTCGAAGTGCTTATGTATCAAATTTCGTTTAAATTCTCCCATAAATAAAAAAGTTGGCACTGCGCATGCGCAAAACCAAATTTTGAAATTGGCGTTTGATTTTCCTTTATCCCAAGTGCCTATGTATCAAATTTCGTTTAAATTCTTCCATAAATAAAAAAGTTGGCACTGCGCATGCGCAAAACCAAATTTTGAAATTGGCGTTTGATTTTCCTTTATCCCAAGTGCCTATGTATAAAATTTCGTTTAAATTCTTCCATAAATAAAAAAGTTGGCACTGCGCATGCGCAAAACCAAATTTTGAAATTGGCGTTTGATTTTCCTTTATTCCAAGTGCCTATGTATCAAATTTCATTCAAATACTTTTATAAGTAAAAAAGTTTGCAATTCGGTTTATAAATGGTCGAGATGCGAAAAGGGCACTGTGAATTTTAAATCGATTCGATCCAACTTTTGGCATTGCGTATTATATGGCTAAATCTATGCCCATATTGAATTTCATGCAATTCAGTTCATAACTCACGGAGATGTAAAAGCGATCGAACATTTCTAAACAAAGTTATCGTTCACATGGACAGATAGATTGACAGACAGACAAAGGAACAGACGGAGAGACCAACCGGCAGGCGACAGATAGGTAGCAATGCAAAATTATAAACGATCTCTAGGATCGTTAATAAACGGCAAAAGGGTAAAATTATGGAACATGTAAAAAACGGTTTTTTGTTTTTTTTACAATAACTTTTTTTGTAAGCGGTACAGAAAAATTCCTTCCTTGGTACAAGACTCGACACCATAACGAACCAAATAGCGAAAAAAGTAGAACAATAGCTCTTAAGATAAAGAACTAGTAGCGTCGCAAAACGAGCGGACGGACGGATAAAGACACGACCTTAGACGAAACACTATTTTATATTTTAATAGACCTATTTGCAATGAGAAAAACTCATTATTAAATGAGAAAAATACCATAAACAAATAAAAAAATTAGTTAAGACCAAATTAAATAATAAAATGCAGCACGAGTTCCTTTGATTTCTTTAGAGTTCCCTTGATTTCCTCGGAGTTCCTGTGATTTCCTTGGAATTCCTCCTGAATACACATGGAATTCCTTGGAATTCTTAGCTTTCCTAGGAGTTCCTCCGGAATTCCTATGATTTCTCATAGATTTCCTCAAACGTGTACACTGATTTCCCATCGCGGTTTACCCCTCGCTGTCAGATTGCAATGGCAACTCGGTCTGAAAAGACTGTTCGGGCGTCGGACCCCGAGGGCCTTGAAAATCCTAGGGTTGAATATAGTGTACACTATTTAGCTAGACCTTTCACTGCCAACACGAGTCAACCACCCGAAATTTGTGACGTAGAAGTGCATGTAAACAAACAACATTGGAAATGGTTGCCTAAAAAAGTAGTATAATAAGTCAAAAGTACCCTAAGTAATATTTGTGTAATTAATCGCGGGGACAGAGGGGGGGGGGCGCATGCTCAGTTAGCTGTTAGCCTGTTACACTGCGTCCTTCTCTTTTAGATTTATTTTTTCTTGCTTTACACGTGGAATGAAAACAATAAAAAATGATTTTTTTCTTAAAACTTTAACACCCTGCATCTCAAAAGTTCAGACGTTTTGAACACCCTGTATCTATCCTTATTTTTGTTTAGCTTTATGCAAGTGAAAATTAATGAACTTTTAAATGTTAAAATGTTTACTCATTTGAATGAACTTCTGCAGTGTGGGCAGGAAGTGACAAGGGGAAGATTGGTGAGGATACACCACTACTTGTATAGGTTACATAGGGCGAGTTTTTTCCCCCTTAAACTTGGATATAAGATATAATTAACAGGGGAAACAATTGCAATTTCAGAAACCAAATTTAATTTGTTTGTTTTTTTTTGGGAAAAATTTAAAGGCCTGTAAAAACAACTTTTCCGATATCAATCTTTTGAAAAATGCAGACGTTATGTTTGGCTTCAGCACCTATAATAACAATGGGCCATCCTGTATGTGGAATTTCATTTATTTTTAAGGGTAGATGTTGTCGTTAATTTGAGATGGAATGCAATTTCGATCATATTTTAAGTCAATGTGATTTTGTTTAAGAATTATTTAATGTTGTTAATTCATTGTTTAACTAATCGCTTGTATTTTGTTTATTTGATTGTAAAGAACTTACGTGTTAAAAGATCATTCTTTTGTAAAATGTTACCTCTGGTCAGTGCGATAAATTTCGATATTCGCTAATTAATTTGAAGAGAGAGACTTAAGTCGCGATAAAACTTTTTTCCATCATCAGAGCCAATTGTACATCTGTAATTCAAAGTCGGTGTCATCTAAATCGAAATTTCAGTGCAAGTAAAGAAGGTAAGTTCCAAAAACAACATCAGTTAGTTTTTGGTTGTGCATTGTTTGTTGAAAATCACAGTTATATATGATCGGATATTTTTGATTATTAACACAAGTAGGTAATTAAGATTTCTATAAGTAATTTGTGATTCGATCGCTTATGCATGGTACTTTGTTTATAAGCCCTGTGGGCTCCTTATTTTTATTTATTTACTATTGATCTTGATCTTTTCTAATAGATTTGTTTCCTCTGTAAATATTTTATGTTGTTTAATCGAGCCCAAATTACGACCCAAGATATGAGTTTTCATGATACATTTTTTTGTTGGTATCTAGTTATGCTAGGCGTTTAAATAAAAATGTTTCATATATTTCTTTGGAATTGTGGAGTTGATCAAGGCTGTCGAGTTTTCTCAGATTAATAATAAGTAAAGGCTTATAGATTTTTCGCAGTAGCGGACGCTGGACATGCACTGGAAAAATTATAATCATTTCGTGTGGGAGGTTTTTCGAGTACCTGTGTTTTGTTGAGCTATCTGGACAGGTGTTTATGGGGCTGGTTTGGTATCCAGTTGCCATTGCACATAGCAATATGTAAAGGAAAGTTATAGATAATTACAGGGGCAGTCTGCTTCATTAATCATTACGGCCTACCAGCATATTGGGCCCCTGCCATTTACATAACAGAAAGAAACTTTAGTCTTTATTTCTTTCAACTTTTCACAATTTACATTGACATACAAGGCAAAGAATTAGTAGCATCAAACCAGTGCATAGTTAGTTTCTCATAAACGATATTGATATATAATGGCCCAAACAGTTCCCAGTTGACAAATGCTATAATTTCAGGTGGTCGAGACCTTCAGATTACAGACTTATCAGAATGTTCATACTATTAACTTACGATTAATATTAGTATAACATCCAGTCAATCGAGTGTTTAAGTAAAGTGGAACCCTAAAGAACATCCCATAGTAAAAAGAAGTGGAATTGTGTATAATGTGAATGAACATTCGATTGCCTTGGTAAGACTGGAAAGGAATTATGAAATGAAATAACATGCCCGCTGCTGTTACTCCTAAAAAGGCACCACATTTCTCCATTATGAAAAAGCGGTATGTAATATGCGATATATTATGCATGCTTTCTCAAAAAATCAAAGAAACATCCAAGCATGTGTGCAAAATAGAAATAAAAAATATGTTTAAATAAGTAAAAAAATTTAATTAAATACCATATAACAAAACAATAAATTAGCTATGTACATGCCAATCTGTGCAAAAAAGGTAAAAAATAAAGTGACAATGCTTTGAGAGTATTCACGCGAACCCTGAATGAAGAACTTTTCGAAACGTTTATTTCAGCATAAAACCAAATTTGTTTTATTTAGCACTGGAGTTACGCATAACTGAGACAAAGAATTATTACAACCTAATCCATATATACATAATATATAGACGAGGAATCACAACTGCTAAATATTATAATGTAGTATTAGTACAGCTGCAAATTATCTAATTACTTAACAAATAGTGAACATTGGCTTCATAAATAAATATTCTTCTTCTTTTAATTACAAAGATGAATATTACAGATCATCTTCATTTAATAATGAAATTCACAGCAAATATTAATTTCTATTTATCGTAGCGGTAATGATAATGAACTCATACTTGATAATGGAGGACTTGTAACTGAAAGATTTAATTTTTCTAATTCTTCATCCACTTGACTATTCCGTAGCTCTTGTATGGTATACAAAAACTTATTCCATTCATCATGTCGAGGATGAGCGAAGTTCTATAAATTTGCATGAAAATAATGCATACACAATGTTGGGAGAAATCTTACCTCTGCAACGTCATACACCCAAATTTTCCCCTGATTATCCCCAACAGTAACGTGCAATCCAGATGGCGTCCAAGATACTTTATTCAAACCTGGATTTGCATCGACGTATATACTGGCTGCAGGAACTTCTGTATCTTGATTAAGATTCCATAAGTCCAATCGCCCGCCGCAATCCACAGACGCAAACAAGGCGGGATGAGTTGGTGACCAAGCGACATCCAATACATAATCACTATTATCCTCAAAGGAATATATTGGCTTGGCATCCTAAATACAAAAATAAGATTATGCTATTTTATTGAAACAAAACACCTTCAAACTCCACAATTTCATGCTCCAATCGATTGCAGAAGTCAAAAATAGATGAGAGAAATCGATGCCACCTTGGACAGCATTTACACTAATACCAGTAATTGGCCCTTGATGCCCATCGTACGTATCTACAATTCCAGCTTTTGCTCCATGTCGACATGCAGAATAAGCGGCGCCTTCTTCACTACCGACAACAAAATTATTTACATCGGAATGTGGAAAATCTAAACAGGTTACGGCAACAGCCTTCCCTTGCATCCTATGTAATTCTAAAGTCTCTTGTGGCTGACTTAACATATCTAAAGACCATGAACATAATCGCCCATCTGTCGATATACTAATGAGGTTATGTGCATTCTGTGTGCCGACTACGTTAACACAGTAAACGGGGTGCTGGAAAATCATTACTATAGTCAGTTTAACAATAAGAAGGTGTACGCACTGTATGCGCAGTTGCCGATAAGGGGGTTCGTTGAATGGGCGTTCTTTTTTGTACACGATTATCCCACAGCACAATCTGCCCGGAATAAGTACCTCCTAATATTAAATTTGGGTGAAACCTCGCAAATGTTGCTGACATTACACCGCTTTGACAATGGAAAATAAACTCGGGAGTGGTCTTCTTAAATTTAGTGTTCCAAATTAAAGCCACACCATCTGGATCATTTGGAGACTCTTCGTTGTTGTTATATGACGCTAAAAGTAATTCTGGGTACTGCGGGCACCAATCTAACGAAGTAACACAACGATTTTTTGACCATCTCTCATCGTAGAACCATCGATTTAATGCAATTCGTTGATGAGATTTTTCGTCACTAATGTAAAACATTAAATTGTGCGTAAGCCAACATTTTATAACTTACAGTCCATCTTCGCCAGAACCGCCTATGTAATCAGTATAAATATCGACAGTTTCACCTAAAGCACGCTCGACAATTTTTCCAGCACGATCCACAAACCGTTGAAAGTCTTCTGATAAAATAATCATCTGCTTTTCCTCTTCACTCAGCTCTCGAACTGTAAATTTTGAGTGGAATCACAGGTGTCATTTTGAGGTGGATGGGTTGTGACCATAACCCCGACCAATGTAACTTCACTTTAATAAATGTCAACCGGAAGTTCGTTAAACATGAAAACATCACGTTTTATTATGACTTGCTAAGGCGCGCGACCCGCACACGAAAATCAGAGCAATGTATGAAGCCATTGATACTGGTCAATAAACATTTAAACTGTAGTGTTTAATTTAGGGGTGTACACTACCCTACATACTTTTTTATCATTTACATTTTACATCATGTACCCAAATAATTAATTTTAGCTACCGAGATAAGTACATTAAAAAATGTTTAAAGAAATTCGCGCCGTATCAGTGCCAAGTCCGAAAAAAAGTGTTGTCTGTGAGGTGGAGTGCGATGCATCGCCCCTGAGAAGGCAACTCATTTGAGTTGCAGAAAAATTTTAATGAATCAAGAATTTTGATCATAATTTGAGGTTGCGGATATGGTCATTGTGGTCTAAATGTGAGGTGGACTCTTACTTTCTTTAACTTCATGTTTTGCTTGTTCCTGCTCCACGGCCGTGACGGCGGGTTGAACTTCTTTAACTTGCGGGAGACCATGTGGAAGAATTCCCGGAGGCAGCTTACTTCCAAATCCACCAAGATGCGGAAGACTGCCCTCTTCGTCTTCACCTTGCCCGTCGTCATATGTCAAAACTGTGGTAAATAAGCTGCCCACTCTTTTTATCAATCACACTAACTTTCATACTATATCTAGCTCTAAGGTTACTCTCGGAACTGAAGCACAGTACAGTTCAAATATCTGAATGTTAATTTTAATCACACATTGTTAGTAACTCGAATAGTAATGACATTCAAATATTTGTCAATGCAAATAATAGCAATATATTTACAAAAACTAATTTACAATTCTGGTGAATGGTTGGAAACAGGGAAACAAAGTAAAAAAGAATTTATCTAATGGAAACAATGTTCTACCTGGATAATACACATTTGTTCATATAAAGAAGTGACAAATCTATCCCAAAAATGATTTATTATTATTATTATTATAGATATTATGATTATTTCAAACATGAATCAGATAATGATGATATAGGAAAATAGCAAGTCAAATTAATAGAATGAAATGTACAGAAATTGCCATTTAATGTAAACCTTTAAACCACATTTATGTTCCGTCATCGTAGTGATGTAAAATAAATTACGCCCAGACTTCTACTCATGTGATTATCCATGGTAGAACTAAAAACATGACGATATGTACTGTTTACATTGTGAAGGTACATCTCATCAAACAAGCAGTATTTTATTATTGCTATTATTTGTTATTAATTGAAGTGTAAGTCAAGAATACATTTACTCATCCATCACTATCAAGGGAAAAGCATTAACAGTACACTTCAATTAAAAAATTAGGGAGTTAAACACATAGTTGCATAAAGCATGAAGGAATTGTCACACAAGGTATGGATATTGTAGAGGAAATATTCATTGCATACTATAATATAACATGTAAACATTATCATCTTTCTATATATCAGTGCTATACAAAGATCTGCAGTGATACAATCAAGAAATGACCAAGCTAGATGTGTCCTCATTCCACTAAAACTACTCCTTTAAAAATGCATATAGCGGAAGCATTCCATAAACTTATCATCCAATAGCGTTCCCACTTTAGTAACAAAATGAAGTTAAACTACCAAGAAATGCATTTAGATACCAGGTTTATAACAAAAAATCTAAAATCCATGATTAGGTTACGAAAATTAATGTTTACACAAGCAAGCACATTAGATGATGTATAATAAATACCATTTGCGTTTATTAAGACAGAGCGAGACGGAAAAGCCACCTACCTGTGAACTCGTCCTCCCACTCTAAACCCGGATTTAGATTGTACTCGTCTTGAGGGGAAAGAAACATGTATCAGTAGGGATTGGATTATTAGAATAAAATTTAGGTTGTCGTATTGGCTGCACTAAGAATTTTGAAAAATTGCTAATTAAATAAGTACCATTCATTATCTTGCATTAAATATTATGCAGGTATATCAAATCAAACAACCGATAGAAATAAAGCAAAAAAAGTTAATGCAAGAGGGAATGGATTTACCTCAGCTATTTATTAGTGACAAAGCGTGCTGTTAAAAAGCAAATTTAGTAAACATACATAAAATACAAGCAAATAATACCTCCCGTCCCAAAAACTTGTATAGCAATCATACTCGGTGTATTACAGAATACGAAGAATTCCATTCGCACTGAATGTTGCAATTAAAAGAAATTACACCTTAACATTAGAATTAAATTAAATGAATTTATACAAATTTAAGAGTGAAATTTCTTTTAAAACACATCCAAACATTCACAACCCTCTTAGTAAAATGCTGAAATGCTCTTACAGTTACAAAAATATATGACGTAAACTTCGAACGCGATCCTGTGCAACCAACAAAAAGCATTTTGTGTTATTTTCCATCATTCAAATTGCTGTTATAAAATCCAAACAAAGAGGAGGGAGTAAATGAAACTATTAATCATTCAAACACAAAAGTAAAACAGGATTATAACAAAATCGGAAGAGAGGAAGGTCCTAATTGAAATGCAGAAAGCAAAATAAAGTAGGTAAAATCATAACTTACCGTAATAATCAGTTGCATGAGCTGGGAAAGGAAAGGAATAATTAATTATTTGATCACCTAAAGAAACCCCTCCTACCAATTGTATTCAAATCAAATTATCTCAATCAATTCTACCACATACTTACAAGGTGTAAATTATAATTGTCTATGATAATGAAAGGAAACCTACACTTGTTTATTTTTTAACCAATTATGTGGCTTATCTTAAAATCAAGTTTTGAGAATAAACAAAAATTCTAAATGGATCCACTTTTGTCAAAAATATACAAACGCCTATGACATATCCTATGTTGAGTTTGACAGTTTATTCAACTGACACACAGGTCACATATCTTAATACATATTTTTTCAATAAGGGGAAAATATTGCTGTTATTATTCTTAGTAGGTAGACGCCATAAACAAATTCCATTAACTTTATAAAATCAAACATAGATCTGTGAGAACTTTGAATACTCTACAAGTCCACATGGAGCATATTAATAATAATAATTCAAAATGGCTTGGGTGACTTTCAACAGAAAAATAGTATTATTATTGCCATATGTATGGAATAAGTTCATTTTTAGCGTTATTATGCATTATCGCAGCACTCCCTTGAAAACTTTAAATTAAAAGAAGGGACCGTGCGGCATCTTTTGTGTATACAGTTTTTTAAATTTGGTAAAAAAATTAATTTTGGTACTGTCACCATCACAAAACTCTTCGTATGATGAAACAAAGAATATCACATGCATTTTCTCATTGCCAAAATGTCATATGACGGCGTAGTAGACGTATAGCCATACCCTTTCTTGAAAAGCCTACAGAAAGTACTACTAACCTATGGCAAAAACCAACAAATCAATTCTCTTCATTAATATGCCCTTGTGGACATTATCCAGATACAACTTCAAGCACAAATGTTACTGAAAATTGACATAAATCTTGATAAAAAGTATTTTATGTCCGAAACCAAAACAAGTAAAGTGACATAGGACTAGCCTGCAAAATATATACACAAAAAGGTTTTAATTTCCATAACAGCAATTTGTTGTGTATTCTCACAATTGATTTTAATGCCACAAATATTAACAAAGAGCATGTGTATACTTAAAAAAAAAACAATACAACGGCATGGCCAAAATTAGAATAATTTAAATAATTCACTACAAATTAAAGAGGTATTTGTAAACGCAACACAAAATGGTGTGCTGCGTTACATTTACATGCAAAATTTCATTTACTAGAAATAGCAACACAAAAGTTACTTAGTGATAGAGCGCCATATAGAAAGTTCAGCTGAAGCAACTCCATGAAAGTTGAGAAATGTAGTGCAGTATACAAAGAAGATATAGTTTTACTTTTCAGTTTAAACAATATTGGAAGACTTT